GGGCGGGGCCTCTGTGGCCCGCTCTAGGAATGTGGTTGCTGGCCTCAGACTCCAGCTAAAAACGAGCGGGGAAGTGGCTCAGCTGTCTCACCAAGAACGATCCAAATTACCCTAAACCCTCCATTGATTAAAACGCAAAGTCATGGCTAAGTAGATGAAGGAATAATTCTGTTTATACCTTTCAAGAACCCCAAAGGTCTCCTGGAATGATCTTTTGTAGTAAATGAAGATTGAGCCCCTTCTATCTTCCACTCATGTAAGATGCTTCTTTTACTTCATTTTCCATCGATTTTATATTTTAAATCTCTCCATGTTTAATAAGTTTCTAATCCATAAGTTTTGACCCCTTGGCCAGAAGACCTGAAAGTGACGTTTGTGAGTAGGGGTGAAGAGCAAGAGAAGGCTCTCCATCTGGGCCAGGCCGCCTTGCCCGGAGTCCATCTGGGCCAGGCCGCCTTGCCCGGAGTCCTTCTGGGCCAGGCTGCCCTGCCCGGAGTCCATCTGGGCCAGGCTGCCCTGCCCGGAGTCCATCTGGGCCAGGCTGCCCTGCCCGGAGCTCTGCCAGTTGGCCCTGAGTTTTCAGAGTGTACTTGGCAGATCAGGATACTTGTGGATGTCTTTACAGAAATTACAGAGAAGGCCTCTAGAATTTTTGGATTTTTTTTTTTTAAGAAAGTTTCTGACTAGCTATTGGGTCTTGGTAGTTTCTGACCAGGTGACATCAGGTGGCCATGCAATCTGAGTTTCTCATCAGAAATGAGAGTTATCTAGATAAGGAGTCCTTTCAGTAAGAGGAGGTGGATTTCAGAGCGGGGCTGCCAGGGACAAAACCCCAGCAATTTTCATCAGCAGGTAGCTCACATTCCTAAGGTCATGCTTTTAACCCTTCCCTTATATCTAGAACTTAATAATGAATTCCTTTGTAATCTTAGTGGAGTAAGGAAAAAATTCAAAGCTGAATTCTAGCTCAATAAACTGACTGAACTGACGATAGACTACTTCATCTGTTTAGAGCCCCATTTTTTTTTTTTTGAGATGGAGCCTCAAGCTATCCCCCTGGGTAGTGCCATGGCATCACAGCTCACAGCAACCTCCAACTCCTGGGCTCAAGCGAGTCTCCTGCCTCAGCCTCCCAAGTAGCTGGGACTACAGGCGCCCTCCACAACGCCTGGCCATTTTTTGGTTGCAGCCATCATTGTTGTTTGGCGGGCCCGGGCTGGGGATTTGAACCCGCCACCTTAGGTGTATGTGGCTGGTGCCTTAGCCGCTTGAGCCACAGGCGCCCAGCCTAGAGCCCCATTTAACAGAGGCCCTCAAGGAAGAGCAGAGGGAAAAAACATTCTTCCCAGAGGGCAGAACTTCGTTTCTCTTGCATACTTTGTCTAGAAAGAGAAATGGCTTGCAATAAAGGTCTACATCATTTCTTGGGCAGTGACTGTTTAGTCAAGTGGCCAAGGACCGGGAATAGAAAAGCTTTCAAATAGTTCTTTGGAATAGGAACCCTCAAAATGGACCCAAAGTCTAAGAACATTTGGGTCCTCTTGAATGCTCAAAAAAAAAAAAAAAAAAAAGGCTCCCATTGCAGAATAGCTCTTAATTAGATAAGTTATCTATTACTGCCTAACACATTATACCAAAATTTAGTGGTTTAAAACAATAAACAATTATTCTCCCACAGCTTTCCTTGGTCAGGAATCCCAGCTCTAGGTCTTCCGTGAGGGTGTGCCCAGACTGTTGGCTGGAGTTCCAGTCTCTAATAAAGGCACTGCTAGGAGAGGATGTGCTTCCACGCTCACTCAGATGATTATTGCAGTATTTGGTTCTTTGTGGACTTTTGGACTGGAAACCTTCCTCAGTTCCTTGCTAGGTGGGCATCTCCAAAAGCCCTCTCACAACATAGCAGCTGGCTTTCCACAGAATGAAGGAACCAAAGAGCAAGAAAGGCTACTCAGGATGGTAGCGCCAATCTTTTGGTGATCTCAGCAGAGACACTGCATCATTTTTGCTGTATTCTGTCTTTAGGTCCAGCCCACTATTAAGGGTAGAGGATTACACAAGGGCTGCCCACCACAGCGACATACTTTGTGGACTTAAGTTGCCTCCTTCCCCTATCACAGCTGTGTTTGCTCAGTGCACCCACTCACAAAGTAGTGATAATGACAAGAATGGAAACACGCATGTACTTTTTTTTTAAGAGACAGAGTCTCACTTTATCGTCCTCAGTACAGTGCTGTGATATCACAGCTCACAGCAACCTCCAACCCTGGGCTTAGGCGATTTTCTTGCTTCAGCCTCCTGAGTACAGCTGGGACTACAGGCGCCCATAGCCACAATGCCTGGCTATTTTTTGTTGCAGTTTGGCCAGAGCCAGGTTCAAACCCGCCACCCTTGGTATATAGGGCCAGCGCCCTACCCACTGAGCCAGAGGTGCCGCCCAACATGTATGTACTTTTAACATGGCCTTTTCCCTGCCACGACTGATTGGTCAGCACTACTTGCCAGCTGTGTGACCAACTTAGTTCCCTGATACAGTATTAGGTAGCCTAGATGGCAGGTCTGATTACAATGTAATCCTATGATGAAGGAGGTAGCAATTTGTTATAGGAATAGACAATTATTCTGGGTTTGGATTCATGCTTCTTTTACATACTTCACCTTTGGACTTATTGAACACATTACACTCCACACGCCTTCTATAACATCCCATGTTACTTCTTACCAAAGAACTCCTTTTCCTGTGAAGATGTAAAGCAAGGAACTGATACTGCAGGATTCACCCATTTTATCTGATATCCCATCATACAGGAGCAACTGGTTTTACAGAGTGCAGGACAGCGTTGTTTTTTTTTAAATTTTTTTGAGACAGTCTCATTAGTTACCCTTGGTAGAGTGCTATGGTGTCACAGCTCCCAGCAACCTCAGACTCTTGGGCTTAGCCTCTTGAGTAGCTGGGACTATAGGCGCCCACCACAATGGGCCCTCCTCACAATACCATGTTTTTTGGTTGTAGTTGTCGTCATTTAGCAGGCTTGGGCCAGGTTTTAACCCACCAACCTGGGTGTATGTACATCAACCTGGGTGTCTTAGCTGCTGAGCTATAGGAGCTGAGCCTGGACAACAGTGTTACTGAAGGTTGTTTAGAACCAGTTGAGAAAATATACTTAGGGATACTATCCTAAAGGATTTGCCATACTCTGTAAAAGTGTTAAGCGTGTTCAGTGGTATCTATTCTGTTGATAGAATAACAAGTCCAAAGAATAGAGACTGACATCACACTATTACATCTGACATCCTAACGTAAAATATATTTTGCTTTCCATTGTAGGACACAAGAGACAGTCTGCCATGGGCTCTGAGCATCCCTGTATCCTATTTTCAAGTGTGACAGACTGCAAGTATCATCCATCTCCTGATACTGAGCATTTCTATAGCGGTCATATAGGGACCTAAATAGGACAAGGCAATCACAGCATTACTCCTGTTTAACGGCTGTTCCCCCCACCCTTAGAGAGACTGATTTGTTTGCTGCTTGCTGAAAAACTGCTTTATCCTGGATTCTTCTCCTGTAACACAACCCACCGTGTGTACAAGTGTCATCTGGCCCTCTGCATCATACTGTGGGAATTTCATTTGGGCTCCAGGAGCTGCTGCAAATACATTGATACTCTGGCTGCTACTTTGCTGTAATAAAGCCGTTTGTCTTTTACCCAGGACTATCCCGTCAGCATCCCTGAAACCATAGCAGGCAAGCCTGTTAGCCTGCAAGTAGGGTAACATCTCAGACCCTTCACTACTTTGCCACCCATCTCAATGATTCCAGGTTCTGTTGATGTGGCAGTTTTTGTGCCCAGAGGAATGCTTCCATAAGAGGACACAACAATTTTTCTCTAAGCTAGAAGTTAGTTGGAAATGCCACCTGGTCATTTTTACCTTGTTTTTCTAGATTAGAAAAAGTGACGATGGTGGTAGTTGGAGTGACTGGCCCTGATGACCACAGGGGAAAGGAGTTGGAGTTTCACTAGAACTCGGAGGATTTGCTAAAATACCTCCTCCCAATGCCATGTTTTTGCATGTATGTTTTTAAATACCATGTTGAATTGTAAATAGCAAGCAAACACTATTGTAGCCATGTAGGAAGACAACTCAATCTCAGATCCTTGGGTCACCTGCTAGACAAAGAAACCTGATAGCTGGTTAACACAAAAGAAATAGGAAATAGGTGGTGGTGAGAAATCACCCAGGAGTGTCTACCCTGTGTGCAGCCTGTGTGCCACATGGTGATTCTGCACAGATGTTTTTGCTTTAGTATTCAGTTATTTAATGGGTGGCCAAGGCAACGCTTCTTCCAGTGTGTGGCAGAACTACAGTATTTAGCATAGGTGTCCTTTATTTGAGAGAAGTTTGGGGCATAAAACATGCTGCTGCCTTTACAGTATCCTGATCCAGCTGCTCTGTAATGGGAACCTAAAATTTGTTATTTTTAACAAACAGCCCAAGAGATTCTCACCGAGGATGCTTGCAAAGCATCGCTCTAGCCGTATTTCCTTCTTCACTGGCTCATAGTGTTCTATCATTTCCTTTTCTTTCCTATCTTGTATATAGGGTTGGTGGCAAACTATTAAGACAAGATCATTGCAGAACTAGAGAACCACAAGACATAACAGTGAGATCCTGGACTTGAAGCTGAATGAAGGCAAGTGAGGAGAATGCATTTAGATGTGTAAATATGGAGAGAATGGTGCTTGCAAATGCTGGAAAGACAAGCAAGGGACTGTTGTAGACCTTTGAAACATTTTTATATTTGAAGCTATCAAACCCATTTCGTATGTTCCATGGATCTTGGCAGAAGAAATGG